GTGAGGGCAGAGAGCTAGAATCTCTGTGCCTATTCCCTCCCTCTCTCCTTTTTTTCCTCTTGGAAGCTTGTGAGGAGGGTTTTGGGGAGCACAGTTTGAAAACCACATCCGTGGACCATGGGGAGCCACCAAAAAATTTAAAGCAGAGGAGTGAATGACATGATGAGATCTGTGATGAGAAAGATTATAAGGAGAATTGACTGGAGAAGGAAAAGACTTGGGTAAGGAAAACCAATTAGGGGGTTATTGTAACAGTCTGAGAGAAGCCCAAGCTTAAGCAGACACCACAGGGATAGAGAGAAGTGGATGAGTATAAAGACATTTCTGAAGTTTGCATTACTAGGACTTGGTAGACTGATCATAGTAAGGGTGAGGGGAAGGAAAGGTTGCTAGGTGAGGAAGGAGGAGAACTCAAGGATGATGGTTTCTTATTTGAGTTATTTGATTGCTGGTGAAACCATTAATGGGGCTATGGAATACAGATATGGATTGGTTTTGGAGAAGAAGAAAACCAATAGATTGGGTAATAGTGAAACATACCCTCTTTTCCATTCAAAAACTCAGAAATTGGACACCTTTTTCTTCTGCATTCTGTAGAAACTTTAATTAATTAGAGTTTTTTAGACCCCTGGGGAAGGCAGCCAACTATATGGATAATCTCTACGGTAGCCTAATTTCTAATAGCCAGCTCATTTTCTTTTGATTTTTCAATAAATCAGATAAAACCAAAATATGATCACTCATGCCTAGGTCAATTGTCCTTCATCTAAGACTTGACTTTGATATTAAAACCCTTTTTTGTGTGCTAGTCTTATTGGCTGCAACTGTTATTTGTCCCTTATTAGCAGAGCAGTGGGTAACAATTTTATTTTTACTAAGATAGTACCCAGCTTACACACAGGATGTGTTCCAAAAATTAATTTTAAAGTTAATTATTTGGAACTCAGAGTACATTTTTCCCTAGAAGCAGCATTATACATGGTGATTAGGTTTCCAGGCCAGTCCACAAAACCCAGTTTAGCCCATAATATAACTGAAAGTGTAGATTTTTGCAATGGAAATTAGTTGGAAATAATGCTGTTGCAATTAAAATGAAAACAATAGTTGAAAAATAAACAGTCTGAGTATTTGTTTCCCTCAGAGGGGTAGTGCTTGATGAAAAGCAGGTTTAATCCTAGGAAGACAAAGAGAATAGATGAGGATTTTTGTGTGAATTGGACACCACAGCTTTTTAAGTTTATTTTTTAAATAATGTTTTGAGAGGGTTTAAAAAAAATAAGAGCAATCGTGTTCATTGTGGAAAAATTGAAAAATATATTTTTAAAATTAAGCCATCAAGAATCCTGCCAACTAGAGAGAACCACTGTTAGCATGCTGGTGTGTCTCCTTTCAACTTTTCCCTTAGTACGTGTATTTCTTAATTAGTCCAACAATAGAGGAATGGCTTAGCAATTATGGTGCATCCACATGATGAACTCTTATGCAGTCCTTAAAATGACATTTCTGAAAAACATTTAAAGACATGTAAAAATATTTGATATAAAGAGAAATGAAGTCCTGATACAAGCATGCCACAACGTAGACAGACCTTGAAAATATTATACTGTGTGAAATAATTCAATCATAAAAGGGCAAATATTGTATGATCTCATTAATATGAAATACCTAGACTAGGCAAATGTATAGAGACCAAAGTTTATTAGTGGTTACAAGGGATGGGAGGGAGAAAGGGGGAAATCATTGCCTGGCAACAGATATTGGTGATGGTTGCACAACATGATTGATCTCACTAAACTGTAAATATGAAAAATGTTGACTTGGCAAATGTAGTGTTATCTGTATTTTTAGAACAATAAAAAAATTATGATACAGTGTTGAGTAAAAGGCAGCCTTACACTGATACTTAGATTGGTGATGAGGGAACGTTAAGTAGATCAACACTGATCAACCAGGGCATGTGTCAACTGTTATGCTACCAAGCAATACTCGCCATACTCACTTCCACACCACCCCCCCAACCAACAACAACCACCACAGCCAGGCTTTTCATAGCAATTCTGAAGAGGGCATATGTGCTCTTTGAAGTCTATAGAGATTGGTAGCACTAGCTCTTTGTTACTTCTGATTTTTCCTTCAAATTACAGAGCTTTCTTCTCCCTGGATGCATGGTATCACTAGCACTACTCAAGCTTAACAACTATGATGAGGGTCATTTTTTTTTTTTGATTCATAAATGGAATGGAAAGAGGGCCATGAATTTCCTGAGGTAATTAGGCAAGGATTGAACAGAGATGAGAAGGACTTGGGTGAAAAAAAGATGTGTATGTACTTGTAAGGAAGAAGATTATATGGAGTAGAATGTATTGAGCTAAGAATGATGAAAGAAAAATGAGAAAATGGAACCTTATGGCGTACATACAGACCTAGAGAGAGTGGAAAGGAGAAAAGAGGTTGTTTGTTCAGGGCTGGGCTTGGTTACAGAGCAGAAAAGAGCAAGCAAAGGATAGTAAGTTTGGAGACATGTGTCCAGCTGAAATAAGAGTTTTAGAAGGAGGCAGCAAATGTAATTTGCAGCAACCAATTTTCTTTTAATAAGAGAAGAGAGATGGTTTATGAGGACAGGTACTTCAAACAGTAATTATCCAGGAACTAAAAGCACTCCGTGTGAACTTTTTATTTAATATAACTGCTGTGGTTGTGCCCCATTTGATTGTAGCACAGTCGATGATTGCCAGAAAGCAGTTTGAGCATCCTTTTTCTGTCTCAACTCCTTTTAGTTAAGACTGGATTTGCCACTGACTTTCTATTTGTTGTTCATCCACTAAGGAGATGAAAATTAGAAAGGAGTGAGAGGTGGGGGAAAGGAAAGTGTTTGTGTGGAAGGAGGTCTATTAACATGTAAAATTTTTTAATGTATTAAGAAAATGCAAGGTTTCATTGCACTCTATAGAAGCGTGTGACACTGTAATTCTCACCCATATCTATGTAAGAGAATCCCTCTATGGAATTCTGTGGCTTTTACATTTTGGTGTGATTGTGAATTACTTAAGGAGGTGGTTAAATTGCAGAGATTCAAAGTTATTAAGTCTAGGATGGGTTACAGGTCCTCAGCTAGTGGTTCTCAATGTTGGCTGCAAATTGTAATCACCCAGAGAGCTTAAAAAACACTGATGCCTGGGTTCTGCCCCCAGACATTTTTATCTAATTGGTCTAGGGGTAAGACCTGGGCATCAGGAGTTTTAAAAGCTCCCACAGGTGATTCTAATATTCAGACGGGTTTGAGAACTTCTAGTTTAGCCCATTACTTAATGACGGTGGGGGGAGGAGGCGGTGGGGGGTGGTGGTGATTAAACCAGTGGTTCTCAAAGTGTGGCCCTGGAACCAGCAATTTCAGCCTCAACAGGACCCTCGTTAGAAATGCAAATTCTTGGGCTCCTCCACAGATTTACTGAATCTGAAACTTTGAGGGTGGAGCCCAGCAATGAGCGTTTTAAGGAAACCTCCAGGTGGTTCTGGAGCATGCTATAGGTTGATAGACAGTGGATTAAAGAGCACTTCCGAACCCTTTCTGAGGTGCATTTGTGGGGGTTGCTGGAGAGGAGAAGAGATGTCCTCGCCTGCTGATAGAAACTGACCTGGGAAGGACTTTGGTAGAAATGTTTTTAATTAATACTTTTAATTATAATGTTAGAAATCATGGTGAGGAAGGTAAAAGGGATGATAATTTGCTGTAAAGCCCAAGCAAGTTCAGGAGGGAGCAAGTCTTCATCTGAATTAGGTTCGTTACGTGGGCAGGCATAGCCCTGGTGGCAGTACCTGCAGGCAAACTCCTACTTAGCCTTCAAGAGTCTGCTCAAATGCCAGCATCCTCTGTCAAGATTTCTCTGAGCTCTGGTGCAAATTGCATCCTTGTATTTCCTTAGCACTTTCTACATTCATCTGTTAGCTCTTATCTTACTGTATTGTAGCTATCTATGTCTCTCTTACTAAATTGTGTGCTCTTTGAAAGAAAGGACACTGTCTTATTCATCTTTGGGTCCCCAGTGCCTAATATAATTCCTGGTACATACTAAATGTTCTAGAAGTGTTTGTTGAGGGGAAGGCATCAGGAGTGGCTGCTTTTTGCCTGTCAAGAGCCTTCAAAAGATGGGTTTACCTTTGTAAATTAATCATGGTCCTAAAGCTGACGACACTCTCCCTTGAAGTCTAGGGACCTGGATTCTGTTGGCACACCATGAATCAATGTCTCTCGGTAGTGGCCTTACACAACAGTGATATCTCAGATTGTGTGTGTGTGTAAATTGTCAAGTACCAGGACAACAACTGTCAACATTTCTCTTATTTTCTGTTATTACAGATAGATCTACATGGGAAATATAATCAATATAATTGATATATCTGCCACAGGACAAAAGTACTTGAGTATTTGGGCCCCACAGGTTGCCTCTCAGCTGGGCACTGCCATCTTCCTCTTCTTTGTATTTCTCTAATTCTATAACCTAGTTTGTTCATCCCTCATCTGTTCATAGATATTCTTCAAACAAGATAAAAAATAGATTCAGTAACCACTTAGCAAATTACAATCAGTTTTCCATTAAGCCTTCTGGAGGTTATACTCAGGTCACCATGATTGGATGTATGGGTGTTCCCAAACTCTTTAGAGTCACAGATTTACAGGCAATCCCTTGGTTTAATCTCCTAGGTGGTTAATCACATATTCATTATGTATGAATTTTTACTGGCTTAACTCTCAGAGGACAACCGTATAACACTTATTTCAAAGTTTTTTGAAGGTGGAGTGCCTCACTGTCAGATTCTGCCAAGAGTGATAATTTCTAAATGTTATAGGAACTTTGAAATATATGTCACTCTGATTTTCTAAAATGGAATTTTTAAGACCCAGAGAGTAAACCAGAAGAAACTGAGTTCATACCTTCTGTGCCGACCCACGTACCTGATATGTATGTGCTGAATAGATTTGTCTACTCTTTTTTCTATAGGCATTATATCTGATAGCCACTAATGGAACCCCAGAGCTCCAGAATCCTGAGAGACTGTCGGCTGTATTCCGTGACTTTTTGAATCGCTGTCTTGAGATGGATGTGGATAGGCGAGGATCTGCCAAGGAGCTTTTGCAGGTGAAAATAAAATAGGACAATGACAAAGACAGTCATTATATTGAGATTTTTCATGCATGTGACAGTAAGAGATGTTTAGAGTAAGACTGTAACCATTTGATTTTAAACCACAGGCGCATAAGTATAGGCATGCATCTAATACACGACTGATTGATATGTTGCCTTCCTTCTGAGAAGATGGTAATTTAATCTAAAGATCACTTTTGTTCTTCCTGGAATTTTATTTTGCAAGGAAAACAACAACAACAACAACAATAATGTGACCCTCTGGTGTTGACGTTTTGTTCTAAACTCTACTTGTGCCCCTGGATGTTGTATACAGGTGCTCTTGGCTGGAGGTAATTCTCTATATAACTATGCAATTATTTCCGTGGCATTTGCTACTCTAATGCTTTACTGGTCAAAGTCCCTTTGCTTGTGATGCCAATTGGCAGGCACCTGCTTGCCTGGGTGAGTACCATCCAGTGGTGAGTGCCTCTGTAACCATTTGTCCTTTTCGTGGCTCTCAGGGATTAGTATATATGATGATAATTACTACCTATTATGGACCGAACGCTTTACGTGCATAACCTCATTTGATTCTTACAACAACCCTGTAGGATAGGTGTTATTATCCCATTTATAGATGTGGAAGTTGAGGCTCAAAGAGATAATTAACACAAGATCACACAGCTGTTGAGTGGCAGAGCCTGGATTTGAACTCTGGATTGTCTGGCTTTCCACCACACACACACAAACCAATTTAGAGAAAAAGTTATATTTATATTGATAAATTAACACATGTCCGGGAGCCCTGGTGGCGTGGTGGTTAAGAGCTCAGGCTGCTAACCAAAAGATTGGCAGTTCAAATCCACCAGCCTCTCCATGGAAACCCTGTAGGGCAGTTCTACTCCATCCTATAGGGTCGCTATGAGTCGGAATTGACACGATGGCAACGGGTTTGATTTTTTGGTTTTTCAGGATTACACATATAGCTTTACCACTGAGACTGTTCCTCAGGGACATATATCCAGATCTGTAACATCCAAGAACAATGTTCTGTCTGTGACTTTGAACACATATGTCAGTTAAGCAAAAGGTGCAACACTTGATTATATAGAGTGCTAGCCCCAGATTCAGTCTGTTCTAGGCCAGAAAAAAAAAAAAATTTCCTATTGCTTGTGAACCCCCTCTAGAAACACAGAGCCACACCCAGGCAAAAAAATGTCCCAACCCAATGCAAATCACACATGGGATAAACTGATTTGGAGGAACTGAGGAGGCTCTACTCCTTGTCTGCTACGTGTGAACTCTTCACATGCTGTCATAGGGTCCTAGAACGTCGAATCTGCAATGGCCCTTTGAGATACTCCAGTTAATAGAAACTCAGATTACAGATGAAAAATCTGATCTTTTGAGTGCTTCACTTACTCATCTCTTTACCCCTCCCACCACTCTATATCCACACCTTGGTACACATTCCTCTTATGTCTTCTAAGAATGAGTGAACATAGAGGTACTCTTAAGGTACCTATACAGTTAAATGGATAATTGAATCAATTATCTAATTAATTCATACCCCAATGATTACTTTTATCTGAACCAGTCAAATGACTAATGCAAAATTGTATTTTGAGTCTAAGTTGTATAGTTTGCTTGCTGTATCTTTTCGTTTCATACATGTAAGCAATAACTTGCGTATCAACTTAAGTCCATATAATTCCGTTCTCTGACTGTAACCTATCATGGCCTATTTTAGAGGTTAGAAGGAGAGAGATGCGTGATCATCTCTCAGTGATTTCACACCACTGGAAAGGCTTGAGAGACGACACAGGTCTTGAATATTTGTATGCTTTCTATATGGCCCTAATACAATTCTCTGTCAGTCAATTGATATTTACGGAGCAGCATATGTTTGCAAAGCATGAGTCCAGTGGGTGATAGGAAACTGTTGAAGGCATGATACCTACTCTCAAGAAGTTTGCAATCTCCTTGGGTATATGAAAAGATAATGCAAGGCTTTTTTAGAGACTCATTCAAAACAAATGGCTATTCAAACAGTAAATATCATGTTGATTAGAGAAATACCTCTGTAGACTAGGGTGATCAGAACATGTCTGTGAACAGGAAAGATTTATGCTGGGCCTTGAAAGATGGATCAATTTTAGATAGTATGAGGAAAAAAAGGAAGGAATTTCAGATGGAGGGGTTAGGGTATAATCAATGGCATATAGGCAAGATTTAAGAGAACATAAAATAGAAAAGTCTAGCTGAAGTGAAAAAGAGGGAAGCTCTAAGACCATAGACTGCTTTGAACACCAGGCTAAAGAGTTGGGGCTGTATACAGTATGGAAACACTGAAGATATCTGAGGGACAAACATGATAAAACCTTTGTGTAGGTAGATTAATTTGGTAGTAGACATAAGAATTAGCAATATGAAAAAATGGAGGCAGGGGGACCAAAGGGGAGTTACTGTTAATAGTTTGAGATTGAGTTGATTAGGCCTAAACTAGGAAAATGGAATGGAAAGAAAGAAAATGAACAGAATGATATGATTTACCTGTGATATGGGAGGACGGGTGAATCAGGCAGATATTCACTTCTGGAAATGTCAGGAGACATGCATAGTGTATGCATGGGCACTCTATGCCAGAACCATTTTACATAATTTCATCACTTCTGTGCGTTATATGTGTGGACGCGTTAGTACATGGGCACGTCATTTGCAGAAAAAATATGGTATTTTGACTTTACGTCACGCAAGAGTACCCTGTTTGAGAGACTTTAACATATGTTTTTACATACTGAATTTAAGATGACAGAAGGACACTCAAGAGAAAATACCCGGTAGGCAATTGGAGAGGTAGGACCTGAGCTCAGGAAAGAGATCAAGTCCCACAATACAGATTTGGGAATCATCCCTGTAAAGCTGATGATAGGTGAAACCATGAAAGAAAATGAGACTTGTAAAGAATTAAATTAGGAAAAGAAAATAATGAGAGGCAAGTTCTGGTATGTGTGAGGTGGGAAGAGAACAAAAAGAGGAAAACGTCTCAAAGAAGGAAGGGATATTTATTTGGATTAAGCACTGCAGCGGGCCCAAAAGGGAAATGGTGGAGGCACAGCTATTGGGTTAGCAATTAGGAAGCCACTGGCTTCAGGGTCAAGTTCTTTGGTGGTCAACTGAGATACTCTTTTTCAGGCAGTAGGGCTGTTCCAGATAAACTCATCAGTTTAAGAAAATAAGGTGAGGCTGGTGCAACCAGTGAGATTTTACATGACCCCTACTCTGAGTTTCTAACTGTGCCCATCAGATTCCAGAGGATTTCATGACACTGAAGGACAAAAACATCTGAAGGACAAAAGCTGGCACTGTGTTTAATTAAACACGCTTAATTGGGTGCTCCAAATACATTTTAATGAAAAAAAGACTGCTTGAAAATGTAAAGTAATGTATTTGTTGGAGGAAAGAATTCCAGTAATTCCTCTTTTTCTTCTTTTCTTATCTTTTTGCAGCATCCATTTTTAAAATTAGCCAAGCCTCTCTCCAGCCTGACTCCTCTGATTATCGCTGCAAAGGAAGCAATTAAGAACAGCAGCCGCTAGGACTGCAAGCCTTACCCCACACCATCTCCCTCATGAGTAAGACTGAAATAAAACTCTGCTGCAGGAAAGATGGAAGAAAAGACAGTCAAACGGGGTGGGGGTTCTTTAACTTTCAAATAAATAGAAACTTCTTATAAGCCTTTTTCCTACTCCCTCAGATTATGTAATTTATTTGTAAGCCTGAATCGCAGCCCAAACAGGGCAGCGATGTCGAAGTGGCCATAAAGTGGTCATTTCCACCGTGAAGCGAAAGAGCCAGTAGTGAATCCCCTCATTTTGTGCATTCACTTTGAAGAAAATGGTTTCTCAAAGATGCACACTCCCTCTTCATAGTGTTGTGTTTGTTTTTAAGTTAGAGAGTAGTCCCTCTTGCATTCGAACCTCCTTCAATACTCCTTACCCAATGTGATGTTTTTCACATGCATTGTCATTAGATGTCCAGAAAAATGATGTCAACACTTTTTTTAAAAAAAAAGAAAGCAAAAAACAAAAAACACACAAAAAAAACATAAACAGAGCAAGTACTGTGTGAACAAGTGGAAGTCCATGCCCTAATAGAGTTGCAATTTTTTATTCTTCTTCTATAGTGGTGGCTTGGATTGTGTACCTATTTTTCTGCATTTGTATTGGAAAAGGTTTCTTTTAAGACATTTTCCAAAAGCAGAGAGGAATATGTGTGTTCAGGAAGGGCTTTTAAAAACTGTATATCTAAATAAAGCTCAAATGGTGAAATCCTGCCATGTTCTCACAATGATGCTTAAGAGGCAGTTGATTTATCATTTATATAAACCAGCTTGCTCATCTTCATGATGCCTGAAAAGGGACACACCGAAACAGTGGCACTCCTGTTGGGCAAGTCCAGGTCCTAAACCTGGGAAGCCCTGATAGGAGAAACATATTTAAACAAAAATGAGTCTTTCTCTGAGAGCCAAAAGGAAAACAAGATAAGTGTGTAATACTGAAATACTTGTTGGGAAGTAACTGAACAAAGGTAAAGATACCTAATTTAATCATCTCTTGTGCTTGTGGAACATATACACTGTAAAACAGGTACATCAGGGGGCAATGAGCCCATTAACCAACATTTCTGTATGATAATGATTCATTTTGACAATTTATAATGTTTTAATAATTAAAAAAAAAAGGCCTAGTGAGCACAGATAATCACAAGCATCCACTCTGTAAGAAATAAGAGGTCAGTGAAAACTACATCGCAATCAATATTTGGCTCTAGGTAGGAACTTGTTACTATTTATCCCTATGTATCACCAATTTCTGTTTCAGGATATGGTATGTTCATACTTAGTCTCTCAGGCTTTGAATTTCAAAAACATGTTCACAAAGATCTTGAAATTCTTTAGTGAAAATAATTTTGGTTTGCAATCATACTTCCCAAGAAATACAAGTCCAACTGAATTCCTTTTGTAGCTTGGGAAAATACCAAAATTTAACTATTGTTTCACCATATATCTATTTTTAAAAAACTCAACAGTTGGCTCTTCCTGAATCTTCTGAGAGTAGAAAAATATCTGGAAGAAGTCTGCGTATAAAAGGATATGCTTCTCTTTTGAGTGTACTGTGAGTTTTATAAATTCTGGAAAGTTGTTTCTCGAAGCCTTTGGAGAGCTAACGATTTATGCTGAATAAGGCTTCTTGATTTTTAGTGTATCAAGAATCTGAATAGAACCTATCTACATTCAGCAAGAGGGGGAAAGAGGTCAATGATATGGGCCTCTCTCCTTCTCTGTCGAGGTGCATCTATCCATCTAACCATCCAACCATCCATTCCTTAAAATGAAAGCACTTTCTTTAGAGTTTCTGCTAACCATATAGTGCACATATTTATGTTTAGGAGATGACACCACTTCTGGATATCCTATTTTCCTGTTTGTTTTCTTTGACTGTGAAATGTGGGAGGGGCTTGACCCCTCAGAAAATATCCACTAAGGGATAAAACAGCAAATATGAAAAGAAAAATCAAATGGTTGGTAACATTAATTTGAAGCATACTTTGTTATACTTTGTGAAAAGGTGGCTGGGCCTGAAATTTTTAATGCCACATTGTTCTAATGAGAGAGAGAGAGGCCTTAATTTTTATTTCATTTAAAAGTAAGGTTTTTTGTTTTGTTTTGTTTTGACTTCTAGTGCCAGGGAATTCATTGAAATACCTAGGATGCGAATAGAATTTAGTTCATTGATGACTATGTCCTTCCAGTGGAGGAGGCCCAAAACCTGGTTGGGAAGCCCTAGTTGTCAATCAGCGTCCTTTGTAAGTCATAAAGGCCTTTTTTTTTTTTGAGACCCTGGAGCAGTGATCCTTCAGATCACTGTAGGCAGAGAAATGGCTGCTTTCGGTTTAGCATATTAACAATGAAGAGCCAGGTACTTCTTTACCACCACTTTGTACCAAGATTTGATGATAATATATCCCAGTAGGCATTACCCTTACAAATTTATATCTATGTACATTTTTAAATGAGAACAGCTTCTAATATCCTGTCCCTAAAGACCCTTCCCTGTGTTGGAGAGTTATGTATATTTCTAAGAAGTATTAGAGAGAAGCTGTGTCTCCTGCCAAAATGATGCTGAAGGACTCACATTTGGTACACTTGAACAACTTGGACTCCAGATGGTTAATTGTTTATTCCCTTTCCCTGGATTTTTTTTTAAGCTCATCTTGACACAGGTGAGTCTATCCAGATCTTTAATGTTGCTAGTGTGCCCTGAGATTATGAGGGCGCATCATCGAATGTTGATTCCAAAATGTCCTGAGACAGGAATAGGGCAGTGGGAAAGTCAGGGAAGGGTGAGAAGCACAGTAGAAATTATTTATTTAAGAAAAAGAAGAACATTAATGTCATAGTAAGGATCCGGTGCGTTGTCATAATCCCATGAGGATTTTTGGATGTTACAGTCCCCTCAAATCAGTCACCATGTTGGGTAATGACTTCGTTCTTGCTGATCTTGTCTATGTCTCATTGTAAATATTTGTGTCCATGTTCCATTTTGGCTACTGGATGGCCAAGTCATGTAAGAAGATTTAACTCAAGTATTTATTCTTTAATTGTGTTATTCAGATTTCTTTCAGGCTTGTGAATTACACCTCAATGTTTGAGTTTAATCACCTGATCTTCACATCTATCCCTCTCCCGTGAAGCACATTCCATTGCTAAAAGAAAAAGAAATAAGAAATTGCTTCCTGTTGTCTGTATAACTGTTTTGATAGTTTGAGATGTTTGTCTATAAAGGATATTTCTCAGCTCAAAAATTGTGTAAATAACTATATTCCTTTGCTCAATGGGTTGTTTATTTCTGATGAGGCTGCCGGTTCTTGGAGAAAAATCTAAAAAATCACTTTTAAATAACATAAACAGGGATTACAACTATGTAAAAATAAGTGTGCATATGGGCAAAGACTGGGAACATAGATAAATGAAATCAGTTGTGTTAGGTTGGTGAGATTATGAGTAATTTCTTCTTTTTAAAATATCCTTTGATGTTGTTATAATATTGTTTTATAATAAATAAACATCAGAAAGGGAACTATAGAAACATAGAAAAGAAGCCAGAAGTACAGCCTTCTGGCCAGAGCCCAGAGCATGCAGGGCACAGATATTTGCTAGTTACAATGATTCCGTAGGCTTTATACTTGCCTGGGTGTTGAGGTTGGCACACGCTCGGGGATGACACTTGTTTTCTTAGGGAGCTATTACCTATAAGTTAAAGCTAGGGAGATATCACTATTAGAACTCCAGATACATCCTTCTGCTTTAAAACTGGTTGCCCTCCACTTTGGTATGGCACCAAGGTTTCTGTTTTGGTTACTTTAGATTGGAGGGGTGACATTAGACTAGCCCCCTTGATAACATCTGTTTCAGGTACCACCTTTCTGGATCGTGTTAGCAGGTTTTCAGGTTGACTTTTGGAGGGATAGAAGGATAAAATCCCCAGCCCTCACTATTTCCTTGTCTGACAGGATATTATATCATCTTGGTAGGATTCTTCTTTGAATGGCCAATAGGCAAGTCCAATCTATTTCAATAGGAGTTGTGACTTGCAATTAAAAGCTGCCTATGAAAACATTAAAACCAATTTGTGGAACTGCCTTTGCCTGTTGACATTCAGTCACAGCATTGTTAGCTTTGGCTCGAGTTGCTCTCCACGTTCTTTCTGTACTGCCTGACTATAGGTTGTATGCAGTCATTGTGATTTCTAAAGAGAAAGGGAAACCATCTATCAAAAGAGAGGAATTTCCTTCTAACTCACCAGAGAGATTTTAGGTGAGAACTTTTATAATGAGATAGTGGCCTCAGATCTGCCCCTCAATGTCACCAAAAGCAGACTCTATACTAGAGAGCCCACAGGCTTTCCATTGGCCATTCTCAAAGTAAAAACATTAGTGGGAGTCTTAACCCCGCCATCCCCAGTTTAATCTCATGAGCCTTTTCTTAGCTACTTGCAGTTAATATTCAGTTAAACAAAGGCATGGCCAATGATGCAAGCTTCTCCCAGTCTCTGAGCAAGGGGACTGAAGTTCAGTATTTGTAAACTGACAGTCTAATGGGCCTGGGATTTTGAGTGAACTTAACATGCATTCTGAACATATATTGCATGTGGATTGGGAAGGAAATAAATGGGACTTTGGAAATAATGGAAATATATTTCCTAAGAAAGAATTTTTAGTTAGAGATTTGTTTCTGATATAATCTTTCTGTTGGTTAGCTTTTATTTTTCCACTCCTTTTCTGATCCCACACTCATTTAGTAAGTGAATATAACCCAACTCCTCATGCACTGGGAATTTCTGTTTAATATTAAACAATGTCTAACTGAAGCTGCAAATGCAGGAACTGAGATATCACCTCTACGTGCACACCTCAGTGTACAAGTATACTATACAACTTGTAGCACTTACTGCCATTTAATATGGCTGAACTTGCAAGATAAACTTATAGAAACTGGGTAGTGCCCCTTAGAGGTTCCTTTGGAAGCTGCCATCAGATGACTATTGTCAGATAATACCAGCAGTCAGGTAGACTCTATGTCCACCTGATTTAGTACCTACGAGGAAATGAACAGCAATTATAGAGAATCATCAGATGTAGTGAGTGGAAAGAGTACTAGCCTAGGAGTAAGGCGACCTGGATTCTAATATTACTAACTTACTGTGTGACCTTGGGCAAGTCACTTAACCGTTCTGTGGCTCAGTTTCCTCATCTTTAAAATGAGGGTATTCA